GTTTGCCCTGCTTGGTCACCCTATTGTGCCCTACACAGGTCCAATACGATCCAATGATCTACTCCCAATCCAGCTGGTTCTGTGTCCAGACAGTCTACATGACTTGAATTCAAAGAGTAGCCGTAGCCGCGGCAAATGGAAAGACCACTTCAGGCTCATCCGTCTGAGGGCTTTTGGTTCGTCTGGCACAAACGTTGAAGACGAGAACAACGTTCGCAGCCCCACGCCGTGTCACTCATCCACAGGATGGTGCTCGATGTAAGCCACGCACTGGTTGCGGTCTACATAGCTTTTTTCAGGTCATGGCACCGATCGAAGTAACTGAATAGAATACCAGTCAGAGTCAGGGCTCGAGGTCAACCTACAAGGCGGCAACGCTCAAGAGCAGAGAAGATCATGGCTTCCGACACATCCCCAATCCGCAAGGAGTGGGGATATATGTAACAGTGTAACAGAATGCACAGGTTTTGACTGAATCGGGCATGAAATTGCTGCTATACTATATGTATTCAATTGTATTCATATCTCCATCTCCGCCTGCAGGGAGGAACGATGGTTTTACAGCGTGAGCCGCTCTTCTCCATCCCGCAGCTGGTCGGCCTGCGTGTGCGAGGATGGGCCTGGTGGGGCAGGAGACAGCTCTGGATCCTATAATGTTTGGTGATCATCCCATCCAAAATTGCTGGTGCTGGATCTTCTAGGGTGTGATGGATGTCCAGGGGGGAGTTTCCTTTGTTTTCTCTCTTGTGGCCCGCTTGAAATCTTAATTTGGATTCCAGGAACATCACTGGAATCCATCCACTGGTCACTGGTAGAGCCGTTAGAGCTTCGATTTACCGATTTTTGCAGAGCTTCGGCCAAGGCTGTGGCCCCGGGTGCAAAGCTTCATGCAAGACTCCTGGAGCATGTGGATGGCTGGTGAAGAGGTGTGGATGGCAACCTCTTTGGAGATGGAGAAGTTTCCGAGCGAGCGGAGTACTGCAAAGCGGTATCAAAACAGATGGTGCCCCACTGGGGTGATTTCATGTGAAATCTTGTGAATGAAAGCGGTCATCGCTTGGCCGAACAAGTTGGGGAATCGCATGGTCGCATTTGACAATGCATCCGATCGAGTTCAGTGTCATTCAACTCATTCCACTGGTGAGCAGTGGTATTCAAATTGCTTTTGAGCTTGCTGCTGATATGCCAACAGAAGACCAGGTGCTTCCAAGATCAATCATGTTTGATCCCAACGGGTGAAGCATCTTCTCTCGGGTGCACTCCCTGAAACAATCATCGAAGTGGAAAACCACCACCTGTATGCTATTCAGAAAATGCTCATTCATTTGGAGCTATGCCATCCACGACGCCATGATGATTTCAGGGATTGTAGCATATCATAGAATTTCCTCAACTGGCTGGGCAGGCACCTAGCGAAGTTCCTGCCCAGCCCCTACCAGCGAGCCAGCGACGAGGCCAGATTCGATGCATGCGAGGAGTCCTGGACACTTGTGGCCATTCACAAACTCATAAGGGGTTCCAGATAGTAGTATACGGCCTCCAAGTCATGTTTTGAGAGGATTTGCCTTTAACTTAATTTCTAGTGACCTGTTGGGGTCACTGTACTGCAACCCTGGAACCTTTCCCAAGACAGGATCGTGTTTTTGTTTGGAATCAAACTCCACACACGGTGCTTTTTTATGGAATAAGGGATGCCCAAGAGATGCAGATGGCCTTTTAGGTTTGAAGGTGCTTTTAGGTATTTGATGTTGCTGTTAGTCTGGATCCGATGTTCATTGTTGATCCTTGGAGTTGGAATCCTGGAAGACTTCGAGTGCTTTAGCCTTTACAGTTGCTGTGGGGTTTTGGATGAGGGAGCAATCATAAGAACGAATCACGGTTTCAGACTTACATGAAAACAGAAGCAAATACAAGTCAGGAATAGCCGATTTACTTGTAGGACCTCAAAAAGTTCGAACATGCTGCTCTGACAACATCATGTGTCCAGATATCATTGCCAGCCAGTCTCCAGTGGAAAAAGGGACAACAACCACTCAGCTTCTAGTAGCAACTCCCACTGGGAGGGCCGGTGCTTGTGCTTCAAAACCACTACATGTCACACATGTTTAACAGCCATGTCTCGGAGTGTCCCATCCCGCGACCCAGACAGATTCGTTTTGCCCCTGTTTTGCCCCCGGTCGCTTGGCTTCCAACCAGGTCGCACCACATGGATTCGTCGATTCGTCCCTCGGTCGCTCGTCCGACCAGCCAATCCCTCGGTCGCTCGTGGCCAGGCAACGTGATCTTCGGGCTTTGGCTCTTGGGCAGCAGCGGCCTTTACCTCCTGGCCGCGCTGCTGAAACCGCAGAGCGACGATTGAGATCGAGACATGGACGTGTTTCCGTCACCAGCTGGATTGCCCGAATCGATGCACAATAACACAGGCAGTTCTGTAAAGAAAGGTAACTTGATCACAAGAAAACAACTATTTTTGAAACAAAACACACACTCTGGCATTGGTTTTCAGTTAACTCAGTTCCCAAGTCGAGAAGGAAGGTGAG